TTGGTATAGAGAGAAAAAGAGGTTGACCCTACTGTTAAGGTTTTTGAATAAACAAATAAAAAGTTTCTAAGTTGGTAATAGATGCTCTCCTGATACACCACTAACCTGACAATTTCGGCATTGATCCATTGCGTCAATCTCATTTTAATTAATGACGTTTAATTTTTCCATTTTAAGGACTACTGAGACAAATTTGGGACCTAAATGTAAGAGTGAGAACTTCATGCTTTAGGCTTGTCTCATACAATGTTCATTCCTATGTTCTCCACAATATATTTTTTAAAAAATGTTTTTACCTATTCTACTTTTTTTAAAATTTCAATTCTAAATAGATGTGATTTAATTTATCTTTGGTTTGCAAGCCATTTTTATTGTGTCATATTTGAAAAAAAAAAAGTTTAACTGTTTTTGTAAACTTGTTTCTAGCTACTAAGAATGATTGTTAAAATTAGTGTTTGTGTCCAGACTAGACATTTTTATTTTATTATCGATAACATTCCATCACTTGATGCTGTTTTTATTGTCTGACATCATTTGCTATTAAGATGAATTTTTGTTTAATGCATTACATTGTAAATACATTCTTATGATACAGTCATTGTGGAGAACATTACTCTTTCTTTGACCTAAGAGCTCTTCGATTTTTATTTTTTGTTTGCTAGGTTAGGCTACAGCATATGCTTGCCTGAGGGTTATAAGGGCATTATTAGGAAGACCTGAAGTTTGTTTTAAAGATGTTCGTCATTGTGCTGGCCACATGACAACCTTATTGTTGGTCAGCCATAACAGCGGATGAATATCAATTTCATTTCTCATCTGTCTACATGAAATGAACTCCTATTGAAAAATCAGAGCAGGAAGGACTCAATCCTCCCATAGTGCTCTGGCAAGAAACTTGGGCCACTCGACCTCATTGAATATCCCAGCCCCATAAACACATTTGAAAACTGCTCAGTTCAGTCTCTCAGTTTAAAGTTTTATTTCAAAATAGTTTACCCTTAATAGAAAGTGTATACTAACTGATATTTGTGACTTCCATGATAAACCCATTGAGCTACCACACAGATATCATTGTATACTAATTTGATTTCTTGGCTACAACAGATCTTGCTCATTTGTTGTTTTTTTTTAATGCTTTGACTCATGCTGAAACTGCTGGCCTGGTTAAGCTAATCTTGGTACCTTATCAAAGTCTATAGTTCCATTTAGTTGAAAATATCTTGATTGGGCTTTTAAGCACTTGGCTAGCGTAGCTAGAATTCTAGCTAAGACCTAGTTATCAATGTAGATCATTTTCAAAATATGTATTACACTTGTCTTTCATTTGTTTTAGGTTTTAAGTTTTTCTTATTGGGATGGTTTTTTTTTTTTTTTGTTTTATTTATAAAAAGAAACATTTTTTTTTTTTACTTTGTGATATTTGTATGTAAGCACATGATATGTTGAATTACTTCATTATACTGCAAGGAGTTTTTATTATTGGCTTTACAGGTTTCATCTTTTATGACATTGCAGTGGTTTTATTGCAATCATTGTTTTATTTTGAAATAGTTTATCTTTTTTCTTTATTGGTACTGCTAGATTTGTTTTGTTTTTTGTAAGTGGCACATCTGTTTATGTTATTTGTTTAAGGAAGTTTCATTCCATACACAGAATTGACTTTTAATTATTTATACAAGGCAACTAAGAAGAACACAAAAATATAACACTGGTCGTAGAAAGTATTCAGTGCACACCCAGCCTTTTACAAACTCTGCAACTTATTCTTAGTTTGTTACAATGCACTGCCACTTATTATGACTTTTTTTTTAATTTCCTGGATAACTGAATCCAGTTATGTTTAGTTCTAGTCAAGTCATCAAGGACTTTACTACAATCTACACATATCCACCTTTTGTTTACACAAACCAGTGAAAGTTATTTCTCTGTCATTACAGTATTACTCATTAAGTAGATTTTTACTTGAATTTCATGACATGCAACAAATACATTTGTATTTTCCTGCAGGCTTCTAATAATGTCTTATTATTTAAACCTATTAATTAGCTTATAAGCTTAGGTTTTATATTTTTTTTTACCTGTATGTTTCTAGTAGCTCATAACCCTTAGTGAGATGAAAGAAAAATGTACAATCCGAAAAACGGCCAACTCCTCTACCACCTAAGCAAAAGCCACCTTAACCTGCGCTATCTGAGGACTGAAGTGTCTCTCCAAAATAGGGCTCCACAGCCACATGAGGAAGTGTGCTCTGAGATGAACCATAGTCGTTCTACGACTGAAGGAGGCCAATGGGGGATAACCCTTAGTGTATATGTCTGTTAATTGATATTTTGTTAGCCTTAGTGTGAAATTTCTATTTTAAAAATACCTCTAGTCAAGTCAAAACTTCATGAAGGATTAGTGGGCAGAGGGTGGAACCTAGACGGCTTTAACAATTTTCCTAAAAATTTGATAGTAGATGTTTTCAGCTGAGAAAATAATTACTAGCTCATTGGCCACGCAGGGAAAATTCTAGTTTGACCGTTATAAATTTTTGAAAGTAAAAAATACATTTAAATGTGGCTATAAAATTGAGTAAAAAAAACATGGCATAGTCAGCTGTAATGTACCAATAACTGAGTTGTTTATTAAATTTAAAGTTGCTTTAAGTTTTTTGATACATTATCTAAGCTTTGCTTATATTTTTAAGGGAATCTAATGTAGTTGTCACAATACTCTTGTTGTTGAAAGTGTTTATTCATTGATGGTGCTAATGTTGTAGATGTCAGATGTTACAAGAAGTTGTGACTTGCCAGGGATTCTGTAGATATATCTCTAGATGTAAATATGTCTTAGAGATTCAATAAATGAAGATCCTTTTTAAATCAAAAAAGAACTTTAATTCAGAACTTGGAATCACAAAATATATATAGTATGTACAGAAATAAAACTGTATCAGGTGAATAACTTCTTTCAAAGCTCAATAATAAAATATATTCAGATTAATACTAGACCTAACAAAATACAAGACTTGTCACTGCAAGTTACTACTCAAAATTAAAAAAGTCTTATCTCAATGAAATTTTGTCCACAACCAAAAACTCTTGATCCCTCGTTTCCTTAGCCACCTCCCCATGACACTTGCCTTTAACCAATCAAATTACTCCGTGCTAGCTGTCAAGATGTCACTGGATGTGATGACGTCATGGGAAATTTTGACACTTGCACGTGCAGTATTTCCGTACTGGGCATAGATATGTTACGTTTATTTTAAACTAGACTTTGGTTTTTAAATTGATTGGGGACAGTAATTTGCATCTAGATCTAGAAGTAGAGCTAAAGTATAATTCTAGATGTGCATATAAGGAAAGTGCCAATAACAATTATTCAAAGTAGCTCTGACCTAATGGATAGAGATGTAGGTACATTGTGCTGACAATGCCAATGTGCTAACTTAATACCTGGTTTGACCTTTAAAAAATTTACTTTTTTAAATATTTAATATTTTTTAAAGTTGTATAATGGAAGTAAAGTCTTTTTTTTAAATTTATATTTTAATGTTTTTCTTGTTATATGTTATGATTATGTATAATTACTAATTTTTTGTCTGATTTTATGTATACACTATAGACAATATTTATATTCATGTGTTCATTATATCCAGTTTTTACTACTTTCTCTATTAACTACGGATGGTTCTTTTGCTCTGTCTTTTTTCACATATTTTTTAATTTATGAAAAAGCAGAAAAAAGGAAATAGATAAAGAACCTATTGCACTGATATTTAACAAAATTATTCTTTTTTCACCATTGTCTTGATCTTGGTAGACCAAGTCTGATTTTGGGAGAAGGAGTTATTAAGTGTGAATAATTGTAGTAACTATGAAATTGCTTTGCAATTTTCTCTGGTGTTTCTTTTTGGATAATTTCATTTTTTTTCTATTCTTTTAAGGTATTCAATTAGCAGATAAAGTTGTTTTTGTGTATACTTTTTTTTTTCTTTTGAAACAGTTTCAGTGTGTTTATTTAGTTTACTGTGCTAAGAATTTGTTATGTATGTTTACTGTGCTAATCATTTTTGATGTTTGTTTGCTGCACTAAGTATTTGTTATGTATGTTCTTATGAAAATATCCTTTACAATCACTTCTTGGTTATTACTGTCATGGTGTATTAATTATTGTTGACACAAAATCTAACCTGAATGTTATATAGAACGTATTTAAGTTATGTATGAAAATTGTCAGTGTGTTTCATATTGTATTGTCTATTAGTAATGAAGACCATACATTGTAATATGTGTCAGAATGGTAACATATTGATTGATGCTAAATGTGTATCATCATATATTTCATTTTGAGAGGGAAGCAAAATGCTCTCTAAAAGTTCATCACTATTGTAACTTTTGTTTTTCCATATAAGGCTAAGAAAACATGTATACATGTTTCAGTTTGTTTCAATCTATATTTTAACTAAATTAGGGTATATACTTGTTAACTCTTTCTCTCCGTAATTATTTACCACATTCTGATGGAATCAACGTTTGTATCGTCGGTTAGGAGAGAAAGAGTTAATTCATCAAGGAAAATGTGTCAACTTAAATTCAAAAGAAAAAAAAAAGTGTCAAAGAAGGAAAACTTACAAAATATTTATTTCAAGAGTAAAAGACAATTATAATTGGCTGCACAGATTTTTTTATAATGATTTTTTCCATCTTGTTATTGTTTTTTATTTTGTTGTTTTTTTTCCTTCGCTCTGGCTTGTAATTTCTTATGCTGTATTTACATGTTAAATAATCAACAAGGACGTTTTTCTTCTCTCCCCCCCCCCCCCCCCCCCCTTTATCTTTTCCTTTGTGGGAACATAAAGTCTTTAGTGAGGACATAAATTGTGTGAAGAAGTCAAGATGACTGACTGGTCATGTGGTATTGGTTCTGGAACCTGGACTATCATTATCCTGGGTTGCTGCCAACTCCTGCAATCTTGCATGATATTTGTACTAGGACGTAATAATCTTAATTCTGAAGAAACAGCCAAAACTTGTAAATCAAAACAAAAAATTCATGTAAATTCGTAGAGGTTATAATTGTTTATTAATGACAGATAATACACACCAAAACAGAATGGTATGACAATGCCACTTTTTAATGCATAATTAATCATTGATTGATTAAAAAACATTTATAATTTGTATAGAATTACTTTAGAAAAACAGCCAACAGCTTTTATAACTTAATGATGATAACAAATATAAACACATACTTTTAATCAAGACCATATATTTGACACTTATGTTTCATGTAAACAACATCAACAATGTCTATATTATCCAGCACATTGCAGGTAAACATTCAATATTTGGATATGTAGAAACAAGCTTGTCAAATAAAACAAGATTTAGAAAAAGTTATAAAAATAATAATCATCCTTATATTCAGTAACTAATTGCTTCAAGGCAGTTTCCTTTTAAGAAGAGATTTGAGATGTATTTAATAAAAGTGTACAAAACATAGTTCTTTCAATTCTACTCAATAAGCATTACTTACTACAATAGATTCTGAAATAATAGAGATAAAAACTTCTAAAATATCACTTCTTTAAGTAATAATTCTGCTATGGTAGCATTTGTGCAAACTTATTCAAAAATTGCTCTACTTTAAGAAAACAAAAAGTGCAGTAAGGATCAATAAAGCAGTCTTAATCTTAGTCTTAGATACTAAAGAGTAATGTTTCCTTAGAAAAATGTTTATATGATATGGGAAAACTTGATAACTCATTTACTGTCCAATAACAAAATTATTGAGTGAAATTCATTTGTGGAATACAATTATGACAGCCCAAATAAGATGAAATACATGCAGCTACAAGCATTTATGATATTATCATTTTCATAGTTACAATTACTTAAACTTCAGAAGTAGGTATTGAGATTATTTTGATTTGTTAATATTTAAGTACAGGACAATTTATTAGTGATATAGAAGCTTTTCATTGGGGTACTAATATTTCCCCCATAATTTTATCTTTTCTAAAATAGTCATGGAAAGTAATGAACATAGTTGAATTATTAGAACAAATAGTCTGCTTGTTATTTGTTTACTTTTTTTAAAAAGTTTATGGAAGTTAGTCTGAAAATATTTGTTTACTAACAAAAAATGTAGACTATTTTTTTTTTTAAAATGGACTATGCTTGTTATAATAATTTATGCTTGTCAATAAGTTTTTAACCACATCGAACTTTATTAAAAGTGAAGAAATATAGAAAATAATATCATTAAAATGAATAGCTGGCAAATAAATTGAACAAGTAATCCACACATGCAAATAAGATCTCATGGAAGTATTGGAGATTCACACAAGTTTTACAATTCTTAATGTCAAGAATGCCAAATTAAAATGTCAGGAGACCATATTAAAATGTCAGGAGACCAAATTAAAATGTCAGGAGACCATATTAAAATGTCAGGAGACCATATTAAAATGTCAATGTTTTTAACTAAAAAATAACAATTAGTTTGTACTGCAAGAAAAAGAGCTGAAGAAATTTAATTTTAAAATGCTAAATAGAGCATTATATGTATGACATACCCTCATCATCAATAGTGGTTAATATAATTGCACCATTTAACTTAATGTATATTTTAAGAAATGTCTTTCATTAAATCTTATAGTTGCTAGATTAGATTCTTTCTTGCAACCTCAGATGACAATTGGCAATACATACATACAAAAACATGCCACAAAATGTCTTGGTAGGCCAATTTATTTAAGAATTCTTATAAACAGAGAACAGCTGAATATCATTTATTTAAAGAGTTTTCAGAAAAAAAAGGGAATAACTGAATGTCCTATTTTAACACATTATGAAACCTAAATTTCATTCTCTGTTCATGATCTTCTTAAAAACAAATAAACAATCCAACACATATTTTTTCTTTGGCATTCAAAATGATAAAAACATTTCATGCCATGTTCAAACATCAAAAGTCCAATACCCAAAGTGAAGAGATAAAGAGAATTTCTTTATTACAAAGGTGATATAAAGTCTATAATGAGAAAATGAATTTGGAAAAGTTAAAGTGAAATAATAAAAATATAGAAAACAACATAAATTAAGGGAAAAAAACATAAACTGGAAGAGGAAGTAAAAAAACTACATTATGTACAAACTATGCTCTGTGTTGTATGTCTACACATCGTCTAAAGGAAAGGTTCTCATTTTGACTTGGTGAGTGCTGGGGTCACGTTGGATAAAGGGTCTGCGATGTCCTTGGAGAACAGGAAGTGTGAATTAAGCACAACACCATCTAGTGCACACCTGAAGTCTCCCCCCAACCCATGTCAAATCTTATAAGGATTCTTTAAATCACGCACAATGCGCTGTTTACAGCATAGATTGTATGCAACAAATGTACCCTCACTTTTTTAGCTTGCGGGCTGTTAACATGTCATGGGTGGCTACATACAAACAAAAAATTTCAATTGTACTTAATATCTACATCTTTGTTAAGCCCTTTGTGCAGATGTTTTAGGGGCTAGATATGGCCCGCGGATTGTGAATTGGGCATCACTAATTTGGGTAATGGGGAAAAGGGATCAGAATTTTTAACAATTTAGTTTGGTTGAGAAAATATGTTTATAATTTTTTTAAACATAACAAAACGTTAAATGATTTATTAACTTAAATCAAGAATATTTGCGAAGGTAATTTAAAAATATGTTAGTTACTTAGGGTAGAGAAATATCTGCCGTATTTTTATTTTTTTTTACTTATGAAAAAAAATCTGACAATGTGAAACTAATTAGGTACAAGAAAAAAACAACTTATTAAATTATTGAAAAGGGAGCTGACGCTGTGTGAACAAATGCATTTCATGAATCGCTTCCCTTTTGTATTTTTAAGCAAACATTGATTACGACTTCATGTTTGAAAGTATCTAGATTTATATCGAGACCTTTAGTGACAGTTAGTTTGTTTTACTCTTGACCATCAGTCAGACTTTCTTTATTTAGTATTTCAAACATGTGCACCTTATCGTAGTACGAATCTTGTTTGACTCCAGAGTTTGAGATTATGTGTTGGGGTCGGCTGGGGTTGTTTTTTCCCGAATTTCTGGTTTTGTTGTTCTTCTTTCCTCTGGCAAATCGGGCATCCATCTGCCAGACCGGCGAAATTTTCTGACCGCTTGGTCTTTGATAGCTCACCATAGGTGCTCTCAGCTCGTGGAATACTCCAGTAGCTTTCTCCCCTGTCAATTCGTGCTTGTTAATAACTGGGGAAGCAAGATGTGATTGAGGCCCTTGGTTTTTAATTTTCTTGACTTTCTTTTGTTTTTTCGGGTGCTTCTTTTTCTTAACCTTGTCCTTTTTATGCTGGTCTTTTTTGCTGGGCTTTGACTTCGTCTGCTTGTGTTTCTTTGGAGGTTCCCCGACCTCAAGCGGTGCCCTCATTTTAGAGGTATCTAGTTCGATTTCTTCCGGTGCTAGGTGAAATTTGGGCTCTCGTACGATAGCGTTCTCAATGGAGTCCACTTCATGGTTTGAATCTTCCTTCCAGGAATTCTGTAATATTAAGGTTGTTATTATTAAGCTGTGTTAAAGAAAAAGTTGTTATTATAGAATTTTAAAAAAACAACATTTGGTGTCAACTTTTTATGGTGTATGTCACTGTCGGAGAGCAGGGCCGGACTTAGAAAGTTGGTGGCCCTAGGATTAATAAAGCGATTGGACCCCAAGATGACCTGCTAACCACGGTAAAAAAAACAAAAAAAAAGTAAACTCAAACTTTATGTCCACATCACAAGGTCCTCAGGGCTTGCAAAGACCTTCCTTCAGGAAACAGTACCAGGAAGAAGAAGAGGAAGACAGAGAAAGCGATGGGAAAACATTAAAGAATGGCCTGTCAGTGAATGAAATTCTAGCAAAGGTAAAATACAGAGAAATGAAGAGAGACGGTTGACAGATCTGATATGGTGCCCCAACAGACTAAGGGATAGGTGAAGGTGAAGTGAATTAGATGGCCCTTAAGGAAATAGGAAAAAAAAAATAAAATAAACAGCGAAAAAACTAAAATTACGTATTTCTATTCAAAGCCTAGTGTACTTCGATGTTAACTGGTGTGTATGTGTGTTGTGTTTTTATGGTGACGGTTGGAAGAGGTTAATGATTGTTTAGTGAATGATGCAAGATAAATGGCATTGTCGAGCGGTCTTAGGACCACTGGCGAATCCAGGGGGGCGGGGCGGTAGGGGCGAATTTTATTATAGAATTCACACAATCTGTAAACGAATTTATTACTTATGTTAAAAATATATACTAATTATTTATATTTCAACCTATTTTTAATTTTTTTCGCCCCCCCCCTTCTATTATGTTGGCCGATTTGGTAGGGTCTGGAGGGGGTGATGGTATCATTGCCCCCCCCCCCCCCATACACTTTCGAGTTGGGGTGGCGGTCCAATTTATTTGTAGAAATCACAGCTTGCTAACAGAATCAATTAAATATCCATATGACTAAAACTTGTTATTGATATTTTAACTGATCTTTATATTATGTCGTTCCCTGTTTGCCGATTGCTGGGGGGGGGGGGGGGCAAATACCTCTACTGCCCTTTCCACCTAAACCCTTTGAGTGAGGGGGGGCGGTCTGTTTTTATGGAGAAATCATAGTTTGTGAACAAAATTAGTTGAATTAATATATAAATTTTACATTATGTCGCTCCCTTTCTGGTATTTTGGCCGATTCGGTGGGGTTGGGGGGAGGGCAATTGCATGTACTGCCCTCCCCACTCTAGCTCTCTGAGTGCTGGGGGGGGCGGCCCTATTTTTGTGGAGAATCATAGTTTGTGAACAAAATTAGTTAAATATATATATATAATATAAACTACGTATTGATATGTGACCCATTGTATATTATGTCGTACCACACTCTTACCTCAAATTGTATCATTAGTAAATTTAAATAAAAAGGGTTGTACCAGGTGGGAGGGGCGATACATGCAATCGCATTTCCCCCATTGGACAAATCAATACTTTTTGTTTTTGTATTATAGTTAATAAATTGCAAAATTTAAAAAAAATCTGTAACGGATATAATTTATATATACTATAAATTAAATTCTTATATCGAGTCGCCCCACCCCTATTCTTTAATGCTAAATGCAATCTTTAGCAGAAATTATTAAAGGAGCGAGGATTAATCGTTTTCAATCTACCGCCCCTCCCATTTCCAGACAGAGTTTATGTAATTTCACATGAATTTATCATAATTATTTTAAGAAAAACTTTGCATTGGAAAAGTTAGAATTCCAACAAAATTTTTCAATATAAGAATCATGATTGAGATGAGTTCTAAACTCAAATAATATCTTCATAGTCGCCTTTTCCCAAACTTTACTCAATCTGATATTTTTCTAGTTGAATAAATTTGGGACTATAACTCACAATTTATACTATTTATCGAATAATTTTTTTTTTCGGCGGCGATCCGCAAAGCCAAAATCTAAATATGTGGGGTATCTTATCTTTTCAAGGAACAAATTGGTTTTATTTGCAATGCATTTAGGGCCTATAAATTCATATTAGAATATTTTTCAAGTACAACATTATTCAAAAGGTCCTTTTTTAATAGTATGAATAATGAGCATTAGGTCAGGAGTATGCGTTTCTGCATTGAAGAATGCAAGAAAACGCTTTTGTCGTCAAGGCTTCGCCTTGAACTCCCTTGATGAATAATGAGCTGAAGATGTCAGGAGAATGAGTTTCTGCAATGAAGAATGCAAGAAAACGCTTTTTGTCGAAACCTTATAGCGCTGCCCAGTTGTTTTGTTTTTCGCCGAAGGTTGAATATATATATATATATATATATATAGATAGATATAGATATATATATATAGATATAGATATATATATATAGATATATATATATATAGATAGATAGATAGATAGATAGATAGATAGATAGATAGATAGATAGATAGATAGATAGATAGATAGATAGATAGATATAGATAGATAGATAGATAGATAGATAGATAGATAGATAGATTGATAGATAGATAGATTGATAGATAGATAGATAAATAGATAGATAGATAAATAGATAGATAGATAGATAGATAGATAGATAGATAGATAGATAGATATAGATAGATAGATAGATAGATAGATAGATAGATAGATAGATAGATAGATAGATAGATAGATAGATAGATAGATAGATTGATAGATAGATAGATTGATAGATTGATAGATAGATATATGTGTGTGTGTGTGTGCTGTACGCACGTTTATGCGTAGGGTTAGTGTTTACTGGACGTTAGGGTTAGGGTTTGGAAAAAAAGCGCCCCCCCCCCACTCCAAAGTTCTGGATCCGCTAGTGCTTTGGACAGACGACTCTTGAACGCCAGACTTAAAAGACTTGTTTTTGTAGTAAGTTACATTTTGTTAAGAATAC